CCGGCCTGGGTCCCGAGGCCGACCTCCACCTCCATCTCCACCTCCGTCTCCGTCTTCGAGGGCAGGCGTCGCTGGCGTGGAGCTGAGCTGGAGAGTTGCCTCCACCATGCCTGCCCGCCATGGCGCATCGAGACTCTCTTCACGCCATTCCCATCCCCATTCCTCGCCCACGCGGCCGTCCGCACTCATGGGTGCCCTCGTCGTCGTCGTCGACGCCCACGGCGCTGGATCTCATCTCGCGCCATCACCTCGCCGTGGGCGGCCATGCACTGCAGCCCATCGCCGCTTTTAGTCTGACCTCGACAGGCGTGCTGGATGCGGTCGACGCCTCCTCGATCCCCTTCATGCCTGGCTGCTGTGTGTTTGCCTCCCTCTCCTCTCCTCTTCCCTGCCTTCGTCTGGATTCCCCTTTTCTCTTTTCCTTTGGTCTCTTTCTGCTTCTTCCATCCTGTGCGCTCCGCCTCGACGATGCGCCTGTCCCTGTTATTTCGTCCCGTCGTCGTCCATCGTCCCGGCCCGTCGTTGAACTGCCGCGGCCATGGCCTTTTACTCTGGTCCGAGCAGACTGTCTAACATGGCCGCCCTGGCGTCTCTAGGTTCGGAACACGATCGCCTCCGTCCGCAGCCCTACTACACGTCGGTCCACGGCTCCGTCTATTACTCCCCACGGACCCCCACCGACGCTCGCCGCCGCGCCTCCAACGGCCCCTCTTTTCCAGCCCCGCTGACACAACCCCGTCAGCGCCGACCGCACTCGATACACATTGTCTCATACCCGCCCGGATTCATACCGCACGAGCTCCGACCCACCCCGCGGGAATCGCCACAGCAGTCGCCTCGGAGGGTCCCCCCAGACTTCATGGTCTCGGGCGATACGACGAGCAAAGAGAGAACCAAGGCGTCCAAGAAGGAAAAAAAGGAAGAAAAGAGGAGGAAGAAGGCCGAGGACAAGGCCGCAAAGGAAAAGAGAGAGAAGCGCAGGTCGATACGCTCCCTTCGCTCGTTGTCTGAAGGAGGAGACCGAGTCAGCAGGGTTCTCGGCAAGATCTTGGCCGTATTCTCCATCACCCCCAAGACGGCCGAACCCGCCCCCAACCCCGCTCCGAGAAAGAGCCAATCCAGACCCTCTAGCTTCGTCAGCTTCGCCCGGCGCCTGTCCCGGATCGACCCCGAGCCGACCGTCATCGAAGAGCCGGACCCTCTCCCGGCGCTTTTGGAAGCCGTCCGCCCGTTGGACGAGCATCTCATCGACCGGCGCACTGGGCAGAGCCTGGAGGAACAACCTGATCACGTTTATGAACGGCCGAGAGAGCAGGAACCCCCTGATCACGCCCTAGCCATGGCCGCAACAGTCGCGCCGCGTCCATCGGCCCTTGTAGGCGGGTCTGCATATTCACACAACAGAAATAGCATGTCATCGATACGATCGGCCAAGAGGTCCATGAGCTCCTCGGTTACCGAACTGCCCAAGCCAGTCGCCTCGGGCAGCGGCGTGACCTGCTCCATCCTCCTCGCCGAGCCCAATGTCTTCCTGTCCGGGTTCGACCACGACACCAACCACCGAAACGGCAGTCAGAATTCGAGTGCGCTGCTCCGGGGGAAACTGCAGATCAGCGTCTCAAAGAATGTCAAGATCAAGTCGGTCACGCTGAAGCTGATTGGAAAGGCGAGGACGGAATGGCCAGAGGGCATTCCGCCCATGAAGCTCGACCAGCACCAGGAGCAGACGCTGCGCTCGCAGTCACTAGTCTTCTTTCACGCCATGGGCGAAGGCATGTGGACCACCGAATACGGAAACCAGTGCATCTACACCCACAAGCCTGCCCCCGCCACCCGCGCCCACAGCAGTCTCCGAAACTCCCTCTACTCGAACCACTCTGGCAGCTCGTTGCACCTCCCCATGCGACCCCGCCCCCACGCCACCAGCAGCCTCAGCGCCAAGGAGCTGAAGCGTCTCTCTCTCCAGTCGGTCAAGTCAAGGAGCTTTGGCAAGGGGGACTCCCCGCTGGCCAACCAAGTCCAGGTCAAGGGCTACAAGGTCTTCTTCCCCGGAACCTACGAGTACGCCTTTGAGCTTCCCATCGACCACTCGCAGCTGGAAACAACAAAACTGCAGTACGGGTCGGTCAAGTGGGAGCTCGAGACGACGGTGGAGCGAGCTGGCGCTTTCAAGCCCAACCTCCACGGCAGCAAGGAGGTTTCGATCGTCCGCCTCCCCGACCAAATGTCTCTGGAGATGACGGAACCCATCTCCATCAGCCGCCAGTGGGAGGATCAGCTGCACTACGACATCATGATCTCGGGCAAGAGCTTCCCCATCGGATCCAAGATCCCCATCGCGTTCAAGCTCACGCCCCTCGCCAAGGTCCAGGTGCACAAGCTCAAGGTTTTTGTGACGGAGAGCATCGAGTACTACACCAATGACCGCAGAGTGACAAGGAAAGATGCCGGGCGCAAGATTCTCTTGCTAGAGAGATCGGCTGGCAAGCCACTGGACAAGCAGTTCGCGGCGAGTGAGATCCGCATTCTGAACGGCGGCGAGCTCGCGCCGGACCAACGCGAGCAGGCCCGAGAAGCCGCGGCGGCCCGGAGGCGGGCAGAGGCGACGAGTCGAGGTCGTGCCCCGGACCCGCTGCCGGAGGTCTCGGACAATCTTCTCGGTGATCTCGATCTCGGCCTGGAGACGTTTTGGGGAAGCACCGAGATTGAGATGAATGTTCAGATTCCGACCTGCGAGATGATGGCGCGTGAAAAGACGCTGCGGCTGCATCCCGATTGCAGTTGGAAGAATGTCAACGTCTTCCACTGGATCAAGGTTGGTTTTATTTCTTTCGTTGCATAGGCAGTCATAGCTGACCCCCGACCCAGATTGTCATGCGCATCTCTCGTGCCGACCCCGAGGACCCGACAGGCAAGCGCCGACGGCATTTCGAGATCAGTATCGACAGCCCTTTCACCATTCTCAACTGCCGCGCTACACAGGCCAACACCGCGCTCCCCGAGTACTGCAACCAGGGACAGGTACCCGTACAACGGCCCCAGATGTCATGCGGTTGCCCCGACGCCAACCCCGTCGACGGGAGCCCCTCCAACTCCTCCGCGCATCTCGCCTTGGTCGAACAGGGCACTGCCACGCCCGGCTCCGGTCGACCCCGTGTTGATTCGGTCAACTCTTCCGTTCTCCCTGGAATGCCTCGACCGGCCCACTTTCAGGATTCACCCCGAGTCAGCGGCGCTTTGTCGAGGCTGCCTCCAGCTGAGCGCAGAAGTGAAGACCCCGCATCGCAACCGACATCTCCGGGCTTGTTCGATCGGGGCCGTCCGATTCATCTTCTGCGACATCCTTCCTTCAACCCTCCTGCCTTTGATGCCGACGAGCCACCTCCGCCTGTCCCAGCCGAACTGTTGACGCCACCGCCCAACTATGATCTCATCGTCGGGACTCCCAGTGTGGACGGTCTTGCTGATTATTTCACGCGGCTTGCTGTGTATGAGGGACCCGGTCAACAAGGGCCTCGGCAAGTCGACCCCCTGGACACTCACGACGGCACCGACATCGACCCACTGAGCCCCGGGACCGACACAGCCAGCGACGAGGCGACGCCCACGCTCGAGACCGATCCCTTCTCCACCATTGGCGTTGCCGGCCGCGCTGCGTCCCTTGACGATGATCACGGCGACTCGTCCGACAGCGGGGACGACGATCCGGCAAGGCCTCATCGTCGAGGACGAGTGAATGTGGCGAACCCAAGAACGCCGGGTGGGCGGCTCGTCCCAAGCAGGAGTTTGGAGATTGTGCGACCCGTCATGAGACTGGACATGACTGGAGTCACGCGTAGGGCTGAATGAGAGGCCCGAGTAGAAGGGGATGGAAGAGGGGGGATGGTTTGGGAACCTGGAAACGAGGCGTTTGCGGCCTTTCCTCCGTTGGGCTTGGAGGCATGATGAGGTTTTTGAACGGGCACCAAGGAGCCCCGAGGTAGGCGTTTGGCGGTTTGGCGGCGATAGACGGTTGCTTTGAGGCTCGCGACACGCAAAAAGTGGGCGGGCTGGCATGGTGCATTTCCTCGGATACCACGATTGGTGGCGGCGGCGTGAGGTATGAACATGGCCGGGGTCAAGGCCAGGGGTCAGTTTATTGACGAGCATTGCATGGCGTTGAGGGTCCCTCTGTGGAGCCAGAGAATGATAACAGATCGTGTTTGCCTGAAGCCTTGGGCCATGCAATGCGCTTTCCGACGGGGCATGTTGTTGCACGCGAAGGCGACTTGTGATACAAACGGCTTCCTTCTAGAAGAATGGACGTTCGATGAGACGGGATCGGAGGAAGAGCTGCTTCGATCGGATTGAATCCGGCCAGCCGCATACGTGCTGCTTGTTCCCGACTCCGTCTCGGGATGGACTGGTTTGGTGCGACGGAGAATCCCATTCCCTGTCTGCGACAAGCCGGCTGCCAAGTTCAGGGAGGAATGATGTCTTGCCTGTTCGTTCCTGTTCCCAGCATGCCAGTGCTGGACGCTTCCAGCCAACTGACTGTCAGTGGGAGAACCACGAAGATGGCAGGCACGGTTAGATAAACATCACTACACTGCCCTCTCTTGCCTGCGGCACAGTAGAGCCCGTCAAGGTCGTAATAAGCATCTGGTTTCCTTTGTACAGCCGGCAGCACCGAATCGCATTCCCTGGGAGGTAGGCAGCCTACCAGCAGCAACACATCGTTACGTCCGTAGGCGACCCCCTCCACTCCACGTTGGATTCGCGTGTAACCGAAATTTGTTCCTTGTTCGCCAGGTGATACAGCAGCAGCCGAGGGGGTATGCTTCATGCCTCCGAGTCTCATGCACACATAGAAGGCAGGCTGACGCAATTGTGTACCGACGCCTCACCGTGCCCTACGTATGCGGACCGATGTTGATAATGACTAAAAAGACAGTGGCGCTTCCGTGGGCCGGTAGAGATAGAGAGAGTGATTGGAACGTGCAAAAATAAAGCATGGGTTGAGGTCGTACCCGGACTCGAACCGGGGTCCCCGGAAGGACGGATGGGTGAGCATCAGAATCCGATGTGATAACCAACTACACTATACAACCAGCTGATTTGATGGAATGCTTTTCCCGTTTCAGCCTCTATGACGCATGGCAATTGAGGCCGGGATAATGCGGGACCAAAACCGCTGGGTCCGTCCTTCAGGGTCAAATGGGTGGAAACATTGTGCATCGGATTGTAATGAGAGCAGAGCAATAAAATGACAATTACATCACCAAGCCCATCAATCTATCAATAAGAATCTACCAAATGATACAGAATACAACCAAAACATGCTTTGTGCCCTCCCAAAATGTATGTTCGCCGTCCCTCCTTGTCCCAACCGGGTATCATGCTGTGTTCGCTCGCCTCCCCATCGCGGGGCAACCATCATCATTGCTTCGTCAGGGTCATCAATAATGAAACAAGCATGAGCCCAGCCATCTAACAGAAAAAAAAACCCAACCAAACTCAATAAAAACAAACGCTGCCCTTCCCAATACATGATGATACTTCGTGATACAAATGACGAGCCCCTCGCGCTGAGCGCCCGGTTTGTGTACAACCCCTCCCAAACAGGAAAGAAATGACATGCCTTTTCTCGAACAGACAGACCGACCGACCGACCCAAGGGCCAAGACACAAGAAAAAAATATTGTAGCAATGACAGACAGTATCACATGGTAAAACAGAGACCGGTTGATGAAACAAGACAGCGATATCCCAACAGAAGGAAAAACACGCGCGCATTGCCAGCGCACCGATGCACAGCTACACGCACCAGAGTCCCGCTCGGGGAAAAGGTGGTGGGCGGAGGGTGGGCGGGATGACCCCCAGGTGATCCAACCGACCACTGAGAGGCAACCGACCGGGACTTGAATGATCTTCGGCGGCAGTGAGGCGAGGCCGGTGGATGGCAACGATCAGACGGCGATGGAGGAGGACCGGGCGGACGGCGAAGCAATACTGCTCGTCGAGGTGCGCGGCGTGGACTCGGCGCTGGAGGTGGGGGAAGCGCCCGAGGATCGGCGCCAGCGGCCGGTGCGGAAATCACACAGTCGGAGGAGCGACCTGCAAGAGACAAGAACATACCCCGTGAGTTGCGGATCAGAAGCCGGCAGCGATTTGGAGCATAACTGACACTGCCCCTCGGTCTGTCGGGTTACGCACCACCACCAGCTGCTTGTCTTTCTTGTCCTTGCCGCCGTCCTTCTTTTGCGGCGACGAGTTGCGAGAGCGGCTGCTTCTACGGGACCGGGTCGCGGGCGCCTGGAGCGCCTCGATGCGGGACTGCAGGTCCATCACCTGGGTGGACGTCGAGTCGTACGATTGCGTGACATTGCTCAGCGAGCTCTGCGCCGCTGCGAGCTGCTGCTTGGCAGCGCCCAACTGCGCTGCAAGGGCCTTGTTGCTCTCGGTCAGGGTGTTGATCTCGTCCGTTCGTCGCTTGATCTCGTCCGTCTTGGCCTCGAGTTCGGTCCGGAGCGTGGCGGCGACGGCGTCGGGGCTCTTGTCCGCGTCGGCTTGCATGCTGGCGAGCTTACCCTCGAGGTCCGCTACCTGGCCCTGAAGCTCCGCCTTTGCCGTCTCGAGCCCGGGCAGCTTGTCCACCTCGAGCTGGAGCGAGACGATGGTTGCCTCAAGCCCCGAAATCTTGCCCTGCAGGTCGGCGACGGTACCTTGCACCTCCTGCTTCTCGCTCAACAAGCCGGGGACGTTGTCCAGCTCGGCCTGGAGCTCAGCAATGGTAGCCAAAAGCCCCGTCACCTTTGCTTCGAGCTCGGAAATCTTGCCGTCCACAACCCACTTGGCTGCCTCCAACCCGGCAACCTTGTCAGCTTCGGCCTGGAGCGTGGCCTTGTCACCCTGGAGCGCCTCGATCTCGCCCTTGGCGGCATCGAGAGCCACCTGCACCTTGCCCATATCGGTAGCTAGGTCGAGCTTCTGCGTCGCGAGGGATACATTAGCCGCCTTGGAACCAGCGAGGTCGGTGAGCAGGGTGTCCAGTGTGCTTTGCTTGTCCGCCACCGAGGCCGTGAGGTCTGCCACCTGGGTTTGGAGACCAGACTTGTCGGACTCGAGGCCCTCAATTTGGGCCCGGAAATCATCAGTCTCGGACCTGAGAGCGGCAACGAGCTCTTCCAACTCGGAGACCTTGGTGTCGAGATCTGTGGAGGAAGTCTCGAGGTCGGCTGTGCGGGACCGAAGGGCGTCGATTTCGGTTTCAGCAGCGTCAAGCTTGGTCTGGAGGGCGGTGTTGCTGTCCTCGAGGGTGGCCTTGGTCTTATCCAGCTCCTCCGTTTCCGCCTCGAGCTCTGCAACGCGGGTCTTTAGGCTTTGGAGTTCGTCCTCGATGATTTCCTTGAAGGCCGCCTTCTCCACCTCACTGCTGTCCCTAAGCTGTTGCATTTCTTCGGCGAGAGAATCCTTCTCCTTTTGCAATTCCTCGGCAGCCGCATCTCTAGCCTTTTGAGTCTCTTGCTCAAAGGTGTTATTGAGTTGCTGCAGCTCCTCCACGACGACCTTCTTCTCATCGGCTAGGAGTGCCATCTGGGCGGAGAGAGAGTCGACTTCTGTCCTCAAGAGGTCGCGTGTGGCAGTCAGGGTAACAATCTCCTTGTCCCTGCTGTCACGTTGCTCTTTCAAGGACTCTTTGGTCGTCTCTAAGGCCGAGATGCGTTGGAGTAGGGTGTCGCTGTGCGCCTCGCGGTCTTCCTGAAGCTTGGCGATGTCGTCCTCGAATGAGGCGAGCTGTTCCTCCAGCTTCTCCTTAGATGCCTGAATCTCGTCGCGCTCCTTCTCAGCTTCGGCGAGCATCACCTTTTGTAGCTCGTAGGAGCACTTGAAGTCGGCAAACAGGTGCTTGGACTCGTCGAGCTTGGTTAGCAGATTAGAGTTGCTGGCCCTCTCGTCGTCACGCTCCTTTTCGACCTCCTCGAGCATGCTCCTCTGCAGGTCAAAGTTGCTGCGGAACTCGTCCAGAATGGCCTTTTGTTCCTCCAGAGATGCGGTGATTCTGTCCTTGCTGGTGCGTTCGAGATCACGCTCGGCCTCGATGGCTTCCTTTTGCTGGGCAGTGGCAGAGAGAAGAGACGAGCTGTTGCGGAGCTCCTTCTCCAGGTGGGCGTGATCCTCGCGGAGCTTCTGGGCCTCGGCCTCAAGCTGTTGGATCTTGTGCCACATGGCCGACTCGGCCTCGGCGTGGGCGCCGTTCTCACGATGGCCATGGTCGCTATCCGGGCTGGGGCCCGACGGGAGCATCTTGACGGACGTGGTGCGGCTGCCATGCTTGACGACGGTCTTGTCGGCCCCGGAGGGTGGGCGCGCACGGGTGCCGAGGCGCGGCTTGACTGTCTTGCGGATGACCGAGCTGACAACGCTGGAGCTGGAGCCGATGACGCTGGGTGTGAAGCGGACCGAGGGAGTCGACCTGGTGACTGTCTCGGTTGGTGTCACGTCCGAAGCCATATCATCGTCCTCGGAGCTGGCAGAGGTGGCTGATGGAACAGTCGTAGCCACGGTGCTGGCGGAAAGATCAGAGCAGCCAGACACGGACTCGGCCTCGACGTCATTCTCGTGGTAGTCGTGGCGGTCGTGACGGGGTCGGCTTTCGGGCCGATCATGATGCTCCAGGTACCGAGTCTCGGAGCTGTAGGTGGGCGCCGGAGCGGACCTGACCGCTGGTGCATGATAGCTGGAAACGCTGGAGGTGGAGGCACGGGAGGACCGGAGGTTGACAACGCCCAGACGCTCTGATGGGTGGGATGGGTTGTACTTGGCTTTGAAGACCTTCCTGGGGAGCGCCCCGGTGATGGTGGCCGAGCTTGCCCTGCTACTGCTGTGAGACGAGGCTGTGTGGCTGCTCCGGAGACTGCCCAGGTCGCTGCCCAGGTCGCTGCCCACGGTCGGCAGTGTTGACGAGGTGACGGATGTGTCGGAGTTCCGCCGGGGTCTCGACATGGATGTGGACATGGAGTTGGTTGTGGTGTTGGAAGTGGTTGTGGCGGTCGATGCCACGGAGGAGGGGGCCGAGGGCCGAGGGGTCTTGCGGAGGATCGACTTGACGGGCTGGGGGGAGTCCCGCGGTTGGGAGTCACGGTGGGCTTCCCGGTGATCTGCCTCTGGCCATTCTGATGACCGGACAGAGTATCTGTCGTCGGCGTAGGGGGTAGAGTTGGCACCCATCCGGGGCCGAAGGTACTGCCGTGGGTCCATGGCAGGTTGCGTTGTGGTGGTGGGATGGTTGGCAGCCCGTGGTGATGGTGATGAGGGTGGTGAGAGAAGTGTTGGGGTGGTGGAGGGTTCGCTGACCCTATTGATGATCCCGGGTCGAGGGCCCAAGGGCAGTTTCGAGGGGTCTCTTGGTTGTGTCTCAGTTGTTTGTCTTGTCTTCAGGGTGCGGCAGGATTTTGGAAGTGGTGTGAGTGTGCAATGGTGTTGTCAGAGGCGGGCATGGCGGGAGTAGTTCTCGGCTGGGTAGGTAGACGAGAAATGGGATTCGTTCCTTGATGTGGGCGTGGGACAAACACAAGACACAACAAACACGGCATGGGCTCTGGTGGGACTGGGAAGAAGCGGGCGAGTCGGCGGGCGAGTCGGGGGTGCAGGCGGCAGTGGTTTTGATGCTGGCGGCCGTGGCCGGGGGGCCGACGCACAACTGGGTGAAACCACACCCGGCGCGAAATTCAAGACCCAGATGGCCTCTGTGGACGGCGTCGTGAGTGTCTCTCCCGGTTGGGTAGACATGGCCTCGGCAGTGTACCGTGAGTCACGCTAAGGGGGGCCTTGAGTCCTGGACAGCCTCGCGAAGACAGGCCGGACACTGGACGGGGCGACGGGGGGCGTGAGGGAAGAGGCCAAATCGGGTGGGAGCATGCAAAACAGAGAAATTGGGATGAGGGCATTCGCTGGCGTTGGGCATGGACACGCTGATGGGTCAGACATACGCCCGGGCAGGGCAGGAGCTTGGAAGGAGGGCGAAGGCACCACCAGAGACATCAGGTCGCCACTCGATTGCCAAATCACCAGCCCGGGGCGGGAAAATCTGGAAAATCTTGAGGCATGG